AACAAATATCCTACAATATGTTTCCCAAATATGAAAAACAACAGAAAATGCTCCTTTAGAATAGAGTGTTTTCAACTGAAGAATTCCTTTTTTGTCTTTCAACTTATAGCAAAATTGGTATAATAACAATTATGCAACAATGATAATAACTAAAGCAGTAATTATCCAAAAAAATTTGCTACCATTCTCTGTTTAATTCTCCTTTTTTTTTAAAGACAATTATCAATTTGCTAAATAATTGCTGCATTTTGGAGATAACACTTTTTTGACTCCTTTTTTTCCGTTTACTATTCCGAAAAAAAAATTAGAAAATCCAACAATAGCAGAAGTACACTGATAAGGTTTCTTTTTGCTACTGTAAATTGGTAACGGTGATTATAGAAAAACATCAGTCTATCTGTATCCTTAGATTTCATTCGGTGCAGAATATTCAACACTTTTACTTACACTCTTATCTGTTTTTACTTTCACGAGGAACGTATATTCTACTTCTATTTTTTTCTTTGCTGTTGTCGTTGTTTTCACCCTTTTAAAATTAGAACTATTGTTTTTTTTTTTCATCTGTTTAACTGAGCAAAAAACTTTTTTTTAATGTCACACTATTTTTGAACTCTAATAGACAAATAGGCAAACAAATAATTAAGCGGAAAAAAAAAGTAGATTTTTTGCTTATTTATTTATTTATATATTTTTTCACTCCTTCTGTTCTCCAAATCAATTTTTTTATCAACACTTATTTCGAAATATTACTTCAGCGTTCATTGCTTTCCACAATTTTTTTTACACCCTTTTTTTCTTCTTCCTGTTCTTCTTCTAATTCAGGCAGAATTTCTCAGCTTCAAACAACAACAGACAGTTTCGTGTGGTTAAAAAGAAACTACTAACCGATAGAATAAGAAATGGGTATAAATAGCGATGTTTTTCCGTACATAATGCATAAACACTTAGTAATGTAATTATGAATGGCAATACCATCCATACAAATGCTGCTGGTATTCCCAAAACCAATAATGCTATCGATAGTACAATATAGAACATCAGGAACATTTTGGTACCATTCTGAAAACATTCACTGTTTTTTTTTCTTTTTTTGCTTTTATTTAAAACTACCAAGAACTTATTTCAATTGTCCCAAAATAGACGAAATAAATAAATAAACTAAATATTAGTATCTGAATGACTTGTCTAAAATGCAACTTGTTTGACACTACAAAGTCACTCGTCATATTTGCCCTAGAGATTGCTGCAACAGCAGCAGCAGCAGCAACAACAACAACAACAACAA